TAGCCACCCTGACAAGAGAATTTCTAACTCAAAATTATTCATTAATTGAATTGTATTCATTTCTTGTTTTTTTATTATATATTTAGCAACTTATTGCAAGGAAATTAATGTTTAGTTGTGAGATTTTGTTAAATAAATGGACTTTACATTAGAAATTAATTAACAGAATGAGTTATACAATAAGTGATATGACAAGATTTATATTAATATTATTTGTAGGTAAGAAAGATAAAACTAAAGAAAAAAAGCATAAGAATAAGGCAGGAAAAAAAGTAAAAGAGAAGAAAGAAGAAAAAGAGGAAAAAGAGGACAAGGAAGAAAAACAAGAGCATGTCCAGTTTGAGGAAAATCCTCAAATATTACCATTAGAACCATTAGTACAAGTAAGTACATATGATTTTCATTAGATTTATATTTTATACAAGTAATTCCTATGAAATAGTATTATTTGTTTTGTTGTATATTTCTTCAAAAGATATTAAAATCAATCAGTACTGAGTAAAATCACTATTTATGTTTAAAAATATATTCTACACTGATTCGTTATTTTGTAAAAAAATTTTTATAATTATAATATTCATTTGGTTTTGTTTAGAAAGCTATAACTGTTCATATTAGTTCTTTAAAAAGTACATTATTTAATTACATTATTTAAAGTATATTGTATATACTTTCTTATGTATATGACATTTTTTTTAATATTTAAGCTCTCATTGCATGTTGCATGTTTATATGTGAATAAACATTATACTTATAAATATAAAAATGTACACATGTGCTGTTCTGTTCCTTGTGCTTTTATATATTTCATGCATGAAATACGGTATATTTACATATTGTATGTCATACCTATGTGTCATTTAAGGTCTTTCCATTCATGATGTATCACATTTCTGGTTGGGTGTCATTTAATCCATAAAAATTAATTGTAACACTTTAGTATACCTCTTTTGCATTATGTAACTTTTTATGTGGTATTTATATACTATTTTACATAAATTAATATTCTGTTTTATGTGGTCTAATATAACTTAACTTTATTTAATTATTGAAATTTGGTAAAAATATTAAAAATACATTTTTACCCCTCTATATAATTGTAATATTTTGTTTGTTGTCTTGCCTATTAACTATTAACTATTATAATGCTTTATAAATATGAATTAGTGTAAAATTTACTGCGCACTCCTATATCAATGTAAGAATTCAATCAATAATGTTTTCCAACTAAAAGCTGAATTAAATTTCGTATACATTATATTGAAATGGACTTTTTACTGTATGAAATAACAAAATTTTATAATGCGAAAAGAATAATTTCAAATTAAAAAATTTATAAATTATAATATTTTATGAACAAATGAATGTCATATGTTATATATACATTATAGTAACATGCTCTTTTTAAACATGTTTACATATAAATTTTGTGCATTATGATATATTATTCCAAGTGCATAATTTTATAGTTTTTTAATATATGTAACATAATTAAAATTATGCCATGGTAAGTTGATTTCAATTATGGTGCTGAATAAATAAAGTATTTTAATTTATAATTATAACCTTATTAAACATAATATGTATTATATTCACATGTGTATTTAATATATCTGAAAGATTTAAAAACAGCATTATTTTATGGATCTTTAAAGAAAATAAAAAATAAAAGAACACACTGATTCGATATAAAATGAATTAACTAAAGTGAGAGTTTGTTTTTTGTGTATTTGTCATTGATAAACAGTTCTAGGACCTCAAGATTAATTTC